ATCCAGAATCATCTTTGCAATCTTTTCCTCTACATCTCTGGAACTTTTCGGAGGCCGATAGAAAACTCCCTACAGGGTGACCTCTCCTTTCCTGTTTCTAACCTCAGCCCATACTACCTCAGTAGACAAGTCCTCATCAAACGTCCTTTCTGCCACCGTAATACTGTCCTTGACTAACAATGCCACACCTTCCCTGATCTTACTGAAACATCTAAACCCCGGAACCTGCAACAACCATTCCTGTCCCTGCTCTATCCGTGTCTCCGAAATGGCCACAACATCGAAGTCCCAGGTACCAACCCATGCTGCAAGTTCACCCACCTTATTCCGGATGCTCCTGACATTGAAGTAGACACACTTCAAACCACCTTCCTGCCTGCCGGTACGCTCCTGCGACCTTGAAACAGATACTGCCAAACCTGCTGAGCTTTTCCAACAACTTCTGTTTTTGACCCTATTTGGAATCTACCTGGACTCAGAGTTGGTACGGAGGATGAAGTTTCAGATACTAAAGCAGTCCATGTTTGCCTGCAGCAAGGTCTGGACAATATCCAGGTTTGGAGTGACAAGTTGCAAGTAATGTTCAGGCCACACAAATGCCAGGCAATGACCATCTCCGATAGAGCCAATTTACTCACTGCCCCTTGAGATTCAATGGTGTTACCATCATTGAATTTGCCACTATCAACATGCTGGGGGTTACCATTGACCAGAAGATTAATTGAACTTGTCACATAAATACAGTGGCTATAAGAGTAGGTCAGAAGCTAGGAATGCTGTGGTGAATAACTCTCCTTCTGACTCCCCAAAGCCTGTACATTAGCTATAAGGCATAAATCCTTATTTATGTGATGGAATACTCCCCTCTTGCCTGGATGGGTGCAGCTGCAACAAAACTCAAGAAGCTTGATGCTATCCAGAACAAAACTCTGTTGGTTGGCACCACATCCCACCACTGATGCTCAGTAGCAGCAGTATGTACTACCTACAAAAGATCCTCGTACAGCACCTTCCAAACCCACGATCACTTCCAACTAGAAGGACAAGGCCAGCAGATACGTGGGAACACCACCATCTGCAAGTCCACTCCAAGCCACTTACCATCCTAACTTGAAAATATATCACTGTTTCTTCATTGTCACTGGATCAAAATCCTGGAATTTCCCACCCCAAGGGCATTGTAGGTCAACCTACAGCTTGCAGATTGCAGCAGTTCAAGAAGGCAGCTCATCACCACCTTCTCAAGGACAACTAAGGATGGACAATAAAAATGCTGGCCAACCAGTGATTTCTACATCCCACAAGTGAGAAAACAAAGTCCCATGCCTAGCTGCCCAAGTGTAGAAAATAATTTAAGAATGACTTCAAACAGCTGCTGTCTACTAACCCACTTTATGGCATACTAATCGTCAAAATGCTGACTGTTGGGAAACCAAAGATCTGAAATGTACTGTTTCTTTTTCTCTGCAATGTGCTGTTACAAATGATATGTGTTTAATATCTGCTACAGACTGCACAGAAAAGCCTGAGTAGCGGAGGTAGAGGTCATATGACAATTTCAAGTAAGCTCGCACACTCCGTTTGATTGTGTGTTTCTCCAGAATTTTCATTTAAAATAATACAAAAAAACTGCTGTGCACAATTATATGCATTTACAGGTTCTGGAAGTTACCGAATATCCATGGTTGCAAAGTAAATTCTCACTCACTAACCAAAACAACGTGTAAACTCCAGGCAGTTTTACTTTTGTCACTACACAATCTTTAAAATTGCTGGGAGAAAAAAAAAAGACATTTTGCCGAACCTTTCCATTTTGCAATCGTTACTAAATGGTGTTTTCTCAATGGAAATGTCTCCACCAATCCAAATGCCAACCAATTTGCACTCTCCTCAAACAGCAAGACTGTGTTGATTTTTTTTTTTTTCCCCTTAGCTTGGTAGTTTTGTGAACTGTCCTGATGTACGCAAGATAAAACATTTCACCAGAATGAGTGTCTCTCTCTCTCTGTAATACCCAAGTTGTCTACTCCGAATAACCATCAAATTTTAAATTGTATTGGTCTCCTAGTGGGTGTACATGCACATTGTCGTTGGCTTTTCCTCTGGCCTCTGCTTACTCATAGGGTGAAGTTCCTTCTGAGGTAAAGTGTTTCTGTGATGAGTGATGAGTGCTGATGCTGATCCATTTATATTGCTGGGGAACAGTAAACATTTGGGAATGATGGCCACTCTGTAATTTGTGAAGAGAATAGATCTTAACACCAGAAGAAATAGGTACAGAAGTAGGCCATTTAGTCCCTTGGGCATACACTGTCATTCAGTAGGACCATGGCTGCTCAAACATTCCTTACATCCACAACGAGATCATTTCTTTCTGAATTGCTGCCTGCACTGAAGACACGGCTTCTCTAGTTGTTCGTGTATATCTGGTCATTCACTGCACACAATTAAGGTGACATCTGTTCAAAATTGGTCCAGGATTGCCGTGTGGGTGAATTTTTGTTGAAAGCATTGACTATTTGCCCAGTGCTCAGCTTTTAGCAATTTGGGCATCACTTTACCTTGATTTTGCCACTCCCATTTATCTGAGTGACGATAACTGGTAACCAGTCCTGGACTTCCCACGTAGATGCGACAGTCAAGAAGGCACAACAATGCATCTTTTTCCTCAGGCCGGCTCAGGAAATTTGGCATGTCCATAAGGTCCCTCATCAACCTCTGCAGATGCACCATTGAAAGCATACTGCCCGGGTGCATAACGGCCTGGCACGGCAACTGCTCTGCCCAGGACTGTAAAACTACAGAAGGTGGTGTGCACAGCCCAGACCATCACAGGAGCCAACCTTCCATCCATGGTCTCCATTTACCAGGCTGGCTGCTGTGGAAAGGCTGCCAGTGTCAAAGACCCATTGCACCCCGGTAATGATCTGCTATGACCTTTCTGTCAGGCAGAAGATACAGAAGTCTGAACATGCACCATCAGGTTCAGGAATAACTTCTTTCTGGCCGTTATCAGACTGTTCAATGCTGACGTTGATCTTGCCTACCATACGCCTTGTGCAATGTAACCTGTATGCCTCTGTCTAAGTCATTCTGAACTGTACATCCTTGCTTACTATGATCTGCCTGTACTGCTCGTAAACAAAGCTTTTCACTATATTTTGGTACATCTGACAATCAATCAATCTGGCTTCAGGAGCTTTTGCACTACTAGAAGAGTTGGGTTTGGCGTGAGATTAGTCTTTTGGACTGAACTACTTTCAAAGCCCTCAATTAGCAAATGTCACTAGTCAGGAATTGCTTTGTACAAGTCTTGCAGGATTTTTTTTATGAACCCTTCTGCAATTTTCATTGCTACCTCGGCCTTGCCATTTGACTGGGGATAGAGTGCCAATGATGTATGGTGTTGAATTTCCAAAGCTTTTATGAAGGAGCTGGCTTCAGTGATGGCATCGGCGGTTGGGGCTGGGACTTTGGTGCTCGATGACGAGGTGGCTGGTGAGCTGGGCAGGACTCTAGTGGTTGGTGGTATTTTGGCATCATCGAAGTCTGGAGTGGTTGGCACTGAGATGGCTGGTAAGCCCAGGTGGGACTCTGGTAGTTGGCAGTGAAATGGCAGCATGGAGGAGAGAGTGTTAACGTGGGGGAGAGATCAAGCCCTTGAGGAAAACCCAGTGTGGACCATCTGCAGGCCTATGGCTAAAGTAGGACTGTAATATTGAACTTTTTTTTATTTTTCTACTTTGCCACCATCTTAGGTACAAGGTACAATGTAAACTTTTAACTGTCCTTGCGTATCCCTGTACTTGAGCACACAATAATGAAACCTAATTCTAATTCTTCTTTTGTTAGTTGAGAATAGTTGTCACTTGAAGCGATTTAAAGTGTTCTTTCACGCAATCTATCATTCCATTGGTAGTTGTTGACATAAGCTGTTCTTCTCTGACTACCATTTGAACTAGTAAGTGAGACAAAGATGATCAGTTATCTTAAGAGGCAGAAAATTTATTCCAACTTCAACCATGATTTGTCTGGGATATCTTGTTGTGGAGGTACCAGTATTTGACTGGAGTGGTCAAAGTCAGAAGTCACACAACACCAGATTATAGTCCAACAGGTTTATTTTAAAATCCTAAACTTTCAGAGCGCTGCTCCTTCATCAGGTGAAGTGGGGAAAGGCGCACAGGCACAGAATATATAGACGGAAAGATAATGGCAAGATAATTCCAGGTAATTAAGAATGTACAAATAGTGTGAGTAGAGTCTCAACAGGCTGAAGACCAATCTTTGCAGGTAATCAAGAATGTAGAGATCAAGAGTAATCAAGTGATGTCAAGTGTCATAGCTTTTTCAGCTTGTTGTTTATCACAAGCACTGCATTGGCTGATGTGTTCCTTAATGTCTTAGACTAGATTCAGTCCCTTTGCTTGCATGGATACATTGTGAGGAGGAAATGGCCTAGTGGTATTTTCACTGCACTGTTAATCCAAAGACTTGGGTAATGTTCTGGTGACCTGTGTTTGAATCCCTCTCTGGCAGGTGGTGGAATTTGAGTTCAGGAAATATCTGGAATTAGGAGTCTAATGATGACTGAGAGTCCATTGCTAGTTGCCAGAGAAAAAATACCTGGTTCACTTTGGGGAAAGAAACTGCCTGGTCTGGACTACATGTGACTCCAGACCCACAGTAATGTGTTTAACTCATAAATGCCCTCTGGACAGTTAGGGATGGGCAATAAATGCTGGGCTAGCTGGCAATGCCGTTATCCTGTGAATGAATAAAGAAAAAATAATTCAGCATGTCTTTTCTTATTTCCTTAGGGATAATGACTGTACTTTCTTTGTACAAATGGCAACTTTACTAACCATTTTATCTTGTATGTGCAATACACTGTATCCTTTCATCACTGTTCCCTTTGGCACTTGGAAATTTGTAATGATTAGTTTTGTTCATCAAATTGTAGCTTGCCACTCTAATTTTTATTCTTATCTTCTCCCTAGATATTTATCAGTCATACTAAGTGGCAAAAGGAGCTCCGTTAATGGCTTCTCAAGGTCAGCTCAACTTGTATATTCACGAGCAGAGCATGTGCTAAAGAAAAGGATTAAAAAATGTTTACTGGGAAGAAAAATCATTGGCATTAATAGTTATAAGACTAAAAGGACTGAATGTTACATGCTCCCTCAGGTGTGTTTTTGGTAAAACACAAATAATAATTATTGGCCATTAGAGTTTGTTATAAGTTCAATCAACCCCAAGGCCACCTGGCCTGGAGGGTTCTCGTGGCACAGTGGTAGTATCCCTACCTCCTGAGCTAAGATATGTAGGTTCAAGTTGCACCTGCTCCAGAGGCATGTAGTAGAAGGGTCAAGCGGAATGAAGTGGGCAGGCAAATTTATTTAAAAAAAAAAAAAATAATAATTTTGGAAGTGCAGGTAGAAAGTGGGTACTGACTTTTTATAGGGTGCCATTTGTGCATTGGGACATCTCACAGAAAATAGTACCCTTCTTCATTCCTCCCTATATGGACAGTAAAACCCACCCCTTCACCCCGTCGCCTTCCCCCCTCCCCAAGGTCGTTTTGCTAGAGCTCTTCGGGAAAGTTTTTAAACTAGTTTGGCAGGGGGATGGCAACCGGAGCTACAGATCAGAAGATGGGGTAGCTGGTTTTCAGGCAGATACAGCATGCAGAGAATCTGTGAGGAAGGATAAGCAGTTGATAGGGCAAACTTGCAGTCAGTGCGATGGGTTGAAGTATGTCTATTTTAATGCAAGAAGTGTCAGGAATAAGAGTGACTAACTTAGAGCATGGATCAATACTTGGAGCTATGATGTTGTGGCCATTACGGAGACTTGGATAACACTGGGACAGGAATGGTTGCTGGATGTTCCGGGGTTTAGGTGTTTCGAAAGAAATAGGGAGGGAGGTAAGAGGTGGGGGAGTGGCATTGCTAATCAGGAATGGTATCACAGTTGCAGAAAGGGAGGTTGTTGTAGAGAGTTTGTCCACTGAGTCAGTCTGGGTGGAAGTCCGAAACCAGAAAGGAGCAGTAGCTTTATTGGGAGTCTTATATATACTCCCCAATAGCAACAGAGACACTGAGGAACAGATTGGGAAGCAGATTTTGGAAAGGTGCAGAAGTAATAGGTTTGTTGTCATGGGTGACTTGAACTTCCCTCGTATCGACTGGAACCTCCTAAGTGCAAATAGTTTGGATGGAGCAGATTTTGTCAGGTGTCGGGAAGGATTTCTGACTCGATATGTAGGTAGGCTGACTAGAGGGGAGGCCATATTGGATTTGGTGCTTGGCAACGAACTAAGTCAAGTGTCAGATCTCTTGGTGGGAGAGCATTTTGGTGATAGTGATCACAACTCCCTGACTTTTACTATAGTCATGGAGAGGGATAGGTGCAGGTGGTATGGGAAAGTATTTAATTGGGGAGGGGTAATTACAATGCTATTAGGCAAGAACTACAGAGTCCCAAGTGGAATCGGATGTTCTCCGGGAAATGCACGATAGAAATCATGCATTTAGGGAGCAGTTGCTACAAGTACTGAACAGGTTTGTCCCACTGGGCAAGGAAGGGATGGTAAGGCGAAGGAACCTTGGATGACAAGACACGTGGAACATCTAGTCAAGAGGAAGAAGGAAGCATACTTAAGGCTGAGGAAGCAAGAATCGGACAGGGCTCTAGAGGACTCCAGGAAAGAACTGGAGAACGGACTTAGACCGAGAAGGGGGTATGAAAAAGCCTTGGCGGGTAGGATTAAGGAGAACCCCAAGGAGTTCTATACTTGTGTGAGGAACAAGAGGATGGCCAGAGTGAGGGTAGGGCCGATCAGGGATAGTGGCAGGAACTTGTGCGCGGAGTTGGAGGAGGTAGGGGAGGTCCTTAATGAATACTTTGTTTCAGTATTCACCAGTGAGACGGACCTTGACGTTTGTGAGGACAGCGTGAAACAGGCTGACATGCTCGAACAGGTTGATTTTAGGAAGGAGGATGTGCTAGAAATTTTGAAAAACATGAGGATAGATAAGTCCCCTGGGCCAGAGGGGATATACCCAAGGTTGCTACGGGAAGCGAGGGAAGAGATTGCTGCGCCTTTGACAACGATCTTTGTGTCCTCACTGTCCACTGGAATAGTACCAGATGATTGGAGGGTGGCAAATGTTATTCCCTTGTTCAAGCAAGGGAATAGGGATAATCCTGGGAATTGCAGACCAGTCAGTCTGTCTTCTGTGTTGGGCAAATTTTATTGGAGAGGATTCTGAGAGATAGTAGTATTAATGATTATTTGGAAAAGCATAGTTTGGTCAGAAATAATCAGCACATGGCTTTTTGAGGGGCAGGTCATGCCTTACAAGCCTTATTGAATTCTTTGAGGATGTGGCAAAACGCATTGAAGATCGAGCAGTAGATGTGGTGTATATGGATTTTAGCAAGGAATTTGATAAGATTCCCCAAGGTAGGCTCATTCAGAAAGTAAGGAGGCATGGGATTCAGGGAAATTTGGCTGTCTGGTTACAAAATTGGCTGTCCAATAGAAGACAGAGAGTGGTAGTAGATGGAAAGTACTCAGCCTGGAGCTTGGTGACCAGTGGTGTTCCACAGGGATCTGTTTTGGGACCTCTGCTCTTTGTGATCTTAAATGATTTGGATGAGGAAGTGGAAGGGTGGGTTGGTAAGTTTGCCGTTGACACGAAAGTTGGTGGAGTTGTGGACAGCATGGAGGGCTGTTGTAGGTTGCAACGGGACATTGACAGGATGCAGAGCTGGGCGAAGAAGTGGCAGATGGAATTCAACCTGGAAAAGTGCGAAGTGATTCATTTTGGAAGGTCGAATTTGAACGCAGAATACAGGGTTAATGGTAGGATTCTTGGCAGTATGGAGGAACAGAGGAATCTTGAGGTCCATGTCCATAGATCTCTCAAAGTTGCTACCCAAGTTGATAGGGTTGTTAAGAAGGCATATGGTATGTTGGCTTTCATTGGCAGTGGAATTGAGTTTAAGAGCCGCTGCAGCTCTATAAAACCCTGGTTAGACTGCACTTGGAATATTGTGTTCAGTCTGGTTGCCTCATTATAGGAAGGATGTGGAAGCTTTAGAGAGGGTGCAGAGAAGATTTACCAGGATGCTGCCTGGACTGGAGGGCAGGTCTTTATGAGGAAAGGTCGAGGGAGCTAGGGCATTTTTCATTGGAGCGAAGAAGGATGAGAGGTGACTTGATAGAGGTGTACAAGATGATGAGAGGCATAGCTAGAGTGGATAGCCAGAGACTTTTTCCCAGGGCGGAAATGACAATCACGAGGGAGCATAATTTTAAGATGACTGGAGGAAGGTATATGGGAGGTAGGTTCTTTACACAGTTATGACTGCGTGGAATGCGCTGCTGGCAGTGGTAGTGGAGTCAGATACATTAGGGACATTCAAGCGACTCTTGGATAGGCACATGGATGATAGTAAAATGTAGGGTATGCAGGGTAGTTTGATCTTAGAGGAGGATAATGGGTCAGCACAACACCGTGGGCTGAAGGGCCTGTACTGTGCTGTACTGTTCCATGTTCTACGTTGTATTCTTCCTGTGTCTGTGCGGGTTTCCTCTGGGTGTTGCTCTTCAGAGGGATTGGTGTGGGCCCGATGGGCCAAATGGCCTGCTCCCACACCATAGGTATTCTGATTTTATTCTATGAAACGTTCCCTGCATAATGCCCTTTATTTACCTTGGTCTAGAGATCCATTGGGCCTTCATCCTTGGGCTGGATTTGTTAAATATTTCGTGTTACATTTGTCCATAAGGTACATCATAATTTGAATAGTCTGGTAGTGACATGGCAGTACAGTAAGTAACAGTTCTTCAGGTTGAAAACAGACTTGAAAATAGTGGTAGCTATAACTGCACATCCAGGCCATTAACTGGGTAAGGAAGCCTATCCAACATGTGAAGATAGTGGGAAGAAGATTGATTCCTGGCATAGATCTGTCCTGTAAGTTTTCAAAACAATTTCCTTGTGTAACCAAGAGACCTAAGCTTCTCTTCCAAGGACCATGAAGAAAAATTGAGCCTTTCCTGCTCATGCAAGGTAGAAGTATTGTCATGTTTGTGATGATACATTTACCTTCTATGTTGTAATAAATTATTTTCTACCTTAATATTAAAGAATAATAATGTACTTTTGTATGAGAAAAGATCTAAAATTAGTTTCATATCCAGTAGCTGTAGTTTTTAAAATTTCTTGCATTTTTTTTCTGTCCAGGCCCTTATTCCTACCCTGCGTATGGACCCACAGCACCTCCATATCCTCCAGTCCATCATCCACATGATCCATACCCACCACTTCTGAATCAGTATGGTGTTTCTCCAGCTGGCTCTGTTGGTAACAATTTTTCCTGAACTTGTAATTAAGTAATTTTCGATCTAGCCATTATTCATTTGTTCTTACAGTCCAATTTTGATAAATGTTTTATTATCTCAAAATAACTAAGATGTTGCGATAACTGTTAGGAATATATTCAATTTCCCACTGACCAAGTTCAAGGAAGTCAAGGGAAGATTTCAAATATTACGACTTTACGTAACAAACAAAATAAACCCCCTGCACAAACTAAAGATTACTTGATTTCGTTTTATTATTATCACTTGCCGAGATACAGTGGAAAGCATTGTATTGCTTGCTATCCAGGCAAATCATACCTTCGATAAGTACATCAGGGTAATAGAACAAAATGCAGAATATAGTGTTATAGCTGCAGACGAGGTGCTGGGAAAGATCAACTCTAATATGACAGGTTTCTTCAAAAGCCTGATAACAGCAGGGAAGAAGTTCTTTTTGAACCTGTTCGTACATGTTTTCAAACTTTTGTATCTTCTGCCTCATGGAAGAGAATATAACCAGGTAGGAGAGGTCTCTGATTATTTTGGTTGCTTTCCTGAGGCAACAGGAAGTGTAGACTGAGTCAATGGAAGGAAGGCTGGTTTGCGTGATGGACTGGGCTGTGTTCACAACTCTGTAATTTCTTGTGGTCTTGGGTAGAGCAGTTGCCATACCAAGCTGTGATGCATCCAGATAGGATACTTTCTATGGTGCATCTATAAAAATTGGTAAGAGTCATTGTTGATGTGACACATTTCCTTAGCATCCTGAGGAAGTAGAGGTGTTGGTGTGCTTTCTTGACCCTGGTGTCGGTGTGAATCGACCAGGACAGATAGTTGGTGATATTTACTCCTGAGAACTTGGAAATCGAAGCTCTCAACCACCTTCACTTCAGCACTGTTGATACTGTCAGGGGTATGTTCTCCACTCTGCTTCCTGAAGTGGATGGCCAACTCCTTTGTTTTGCTGACATTGAGGGAGAGATTGTTGTCTTTACACCATGCCACTAAGCTGTCTATCTCCTTCATGTACTCTGTCTCCTCGTTGTTTGAGATCTGACCCACTAAAGTGGTGTCATTAGCAAATTTTGTAAATGGATGTAACTAATACAGAAAAGATAGCCCTTATTATTGCTTAAGTGATCAATACCTCATGCTGCATATAGACAGTACAACACAATGTCTGCAGAGGTTTTCAATCTTTACTGGAAACAATCCAAAGCCACTACCAGCTACCAGTGGGCTAATCTCGCCCTGGTTTGTTGAGTTGTACGTCCAGTAACTGTCAAAAATCATTTCCCTTAGTCTCTTGAGAATTTACAAACCATCTTACAACAACACTGTTCTGAAGAAGGGTCACTGAACCCAAAGTGTTAGTTCTGGTTTCTCTCCACAGATGCTGTCAGACCTACTGAGATTTTCCAGCAATTTGTTTTTGTTACAACAGCACAGTTCGCTCTCATGATTCCTGCTCCAGTCTTGCTATGGTGAATCTTCCAGAGACTTTCAATATTTGTACGTTCCTTCTCTTCACCCAAAGGAGAAGCATTTCACTAGTTCACTGACTTTCAAAAATATTTTGTCCTCCTGCTGCTTGCAGGAACTTCTGCTCCCTTTCTCTCTATTCCAAGTCTCTGATACAATACATTGCAATGGCAAAACATCTGTCTCTTTTTCTTTCCGTTCAAATGTTACCCAGCAAATGCATTTCAATGCACTTAATCTGGGTATCAGTCTTCATAGTAACCAAGCCACATAGGTATGTCATTGGGGGAAAAAATTGGAAAAGGTTGCAAGATAGTCTTGGGGAGAGAAGACGGACAGGTCAAGGAGGCGGGGCTGGAGCCAGTAAAGGTGAGTGTAGGTTGGGAGTTGAGATGGGCGTTGGTCAGTTGAGGGAAGACAGACAGGTCAAGGAGGCGACGATGAGGCTAGTAGGTAGAAAGTGGGGAGAGATAGTAGGAACTGCAGATGCTGGAGAATCTGAGATAACAAGGTGTAGAGCTGGATGAACACAGCAGGCCAAGCAGCATCGGAGGGGCAGGAAAGCTGATGTTTCGGGCCTAGGCCCTTCAGAAATTTCTGAAATTTCTGTTCATCCAGCTCTACACCTTGTTACCTCGGGTAGGAAGTGGGGATGGGGGTTGGGCAGTGAGGTGGGAGGAGCGGATAGGTGGCAGAAAAGACTGACAGTCGAAGGATGTGGGGACGAGCTGGGCTGGACTTGGGATGAGGTCGGGGGTGGGGAGATTTTGAAGCTTGTGAAGTCCAAATTGAGACCATTGGGCTGCAGGGTTCCCGAGCAAAATATGAGGTGCTGTTCCTGCAGCCTTCGGGTGGTATCGTTGTGGCACTGGAGGAGGCCTAAGATGGACATGTCGTCCAAGGAGTGGGAGTGGGAGTGGGAGTGGGAAGGGGAGTTGAAGTGGTTCGCGACTGGGAGGTGCAGTTGTTTGTCACAAACCGAGCGTAGGTATTCCACAAAGTGGTCTCCAAGCCTCCGCTTGGTTTATCCACCTTCCGTCATCGACTTCCCCTCTCTCTATTTATTTCAGAGTCCCCTTCCCCTCCCCCATTTCTGAAGAAGGGTCCAGACCCGAAACGTCAGCTTTCCTGCTCCTCTGCTGCCTGGCCTGCTGTGTTCATCCAGCTGTACACCTTTTGTTATCTCAGAGTCTGGCATCAGCAGTTCCTACTACCTCTACTAGATAGTCTTCACTGCCTCATTAACTCAAGACAAAATGAAGTAGCTTATAACATAACACTCTCTTAACTTTTCATATGTAACACAGTGCTCTAAAAATGAAAAGAAGTTGCTGTTGTAAGTTCCCACAAAAGTATCAAAATATAATATTGTGCATACCTTATCAACAAACTTACTACACAGGGTACAAGGAATGCCTCCTCCCTTTTCACATTTTACCTTCTTTTGGAAGCTTTATAAGGCTCAATTGTTACACCCAATCTCGTGAGTCTGTTGGGGTTTCAAGGTCTGTTTATATCAGTTTGTGTCTCAACGATCAACCCAAGCATTCATTTTAGTACTCCGAGATAGTAGGAACTGCTGATGCTGGAGAATCTGAGATAACAAGTTGTAGAGCTGGATGAACACAGCAGGCCAGGCAGCATCAGGGGAGCAGGAAAGCTGACATTTTGGGACTGGACTCTTTTCCATCCTTTATTGTAGCAAATCTTCTCCTTTCTAATTCAAATAGATTTTTAAGCTTTTCATATTACAAAGAACAACATTGCAGATCAATGTACTATAGAACTTCTAAATTGGAAGAGGACTAAGTTCATTGTTATGAGAAGGGATCCATGCAGGGTAAAGAAGAACTGGAGACTGATGGGAATCAGGGAAATGGAACTATGAGTGGTCTTTATGAATGCAATGCCTCAAAGAGAGGCTAGCTACATTCCCAAGGGAGCAAGATGCAAGGAAGCTAAAAACATGGTTCCTTCAGTGACATGGGAGATATAGAGAATAGGCAAAAGAGGTGGGTGAATGATGCAAATTGGGTGAATTATTGAAGTGGAAACTAAGTTAAATGCAATAGGTTGAGAGGGGAAGTAAAGAGAAAGGTAAGATTGGTATCTTGAGAATCGAAAATAGAATAGCATTTAAATTAAAATGACCCAACGTCGTCTTTTGCCGTGAAAATAGTAAGCTGATCGTAAGAAATGAGATGAGTCCTATTAGGAGCAATGAGTGAAAATAGACTTGGAAGTGCAGGATAAGTCTAGAATAATGAGTTAATTGAAGGTGGATAAATCTGACAAGTGGATATACTGGAGGTCATGGATTGTGCAAAAACTGAAAACCAGGAGGCACCTAAAAGGCTGGCTGTGCTTAGATCGGATAAACCACCCGTCCAGATGTTTTTCACACCAGCTTGCTAAAGATAATGGAAATGGAAATAGCGAAGGGCTTGCTGTAATCTTACAAACCTCCCAGAGAAAAGCAAAATATTAAAGGATTAGTGAAAGGCAGATTTGACACCCTTTATTTAGAAAAGGGTTGAAGGACAATCCAAACAACTACAGACCAGTTACACTAGATAAAAGCAAAATACTGTGGATGCTGGGGAGCTGAAATAATAGCAGAAAGTGGTAGAGAAATCTAACAATTGTGGCAGCATCTGTGGAGAATGAAAGAGTTAACATTTTGAGCTGTTCTGAAGAAAAATCAGATCAGAATTGATAAGTTAACTTTGCAAATTTCAAGAGGAAGGGAAGGTGGTGGTGTAGTGGTATTGTCACTGGATTAATAATCCAGAAACCCAGCAAATACACTCGGCATGACTGTGAATCCTGCCATGCAGGGTGGTGAAACCTGTGTACACTTAGTGAAAGAAAATTTGGAATTAAAGTCTGCTGTCATGGAGAGAATTGTTGGTTGATGGGGCAAAAACCATGTGGTTCACTGATGTCCTTTTAAAGATAGAAAACGTTGCCATCCTGATCTGGCCTACATATGACTCCCAGATCCACAGCAATGATTTTTAAGTGTTTTAGAAGCCACTCGGTTGTTTCTAACCATGACAAAGCCTAATAAGCCTGACAGACCGACCAACATCAACCAAGACACCAGGAATGACTGTGGCACACAGAGCCTAGTGGTATTATTGCTGAACGACTAATCCAGAAACTGGGCTAATGTTCTGGGGACCTGGCTTCAAATCCTGCCATTGCAGATGTTGGAATTTGAATTTTATAAAGAATCTGGAATTAAGGGTCCAATAATGACCATTAAACCATTTGTTGATTGTCAGAAAAACCCATCCGGTTCACAAATGACTTTAGGGAAGGAAATCTGTCATCCTTACCTGGTCTGACCTGCACCTGACTCTAGACCCACAGCAATGTGGTCAGCTCTCAACTACCCTCTGGGCAATTATGGATGAGTAATAAGTACTGGCTTAACTGGAGACCTCCACATCCCAGAAGTAAATTTAAAAAAAAAAAAATTGTTGGTCCAGTTCTGTTCTGGCCAGTGGTAACCTG